TTTCTTAACAACACTAACTCAAAACGAGTTAACGACTTTGTGCTAGTCAAGTTTTTTTTTTAAATTAAGAAAAAAAAAACAGTGGTAGAGATGAGGTTGTTTATTGATGTGGAGATTATGATACCCAATTTTTACGAACAAAACACGGAAATAGTTATTCTAAGCATGAATCTTTCCTTTTTCTGGAGAAAAAAAATTTTAAAATAAAAAAATGGCTAAAAAATTCAAGAAAAAATTAGTTGGCAAACTTCCATTGCCAGTGACTGAGGAAACAATGATGACTGCATCGCAATACACATTTGAAGTTGATAATGATTTTCAAATGTATTGATTTGTGTTTAAACTGTATTTCTCAGACAGTGAAATGCTCTATTACAAATTAGTACTTTAATTAAGATATATCGGTTCTAATTCTACAATTAGACTTGAATTGAAATTAATTGTATGTTGGCTTTGAATATACCTTTCTGAGTAGTAATGAACTACTACTTAATCAGTTTTCAAACTTGTTCACACTTGTACCGTGTAGCGAGACTAGTGTAAACAAAAACAATTTTTTTTTTTATTTTTTAGAAAAATTTATTATGATAAGCAATTTTGTAATTTCAGATAGAAATCAAATTGTAAGTCACGTCCAAATTATTCTCAAGTATTTTATGAGTTAAAAATTAAATTAAATATGGTATTTTTTTCCTTTTTATTACCGTCGTTGAACAGCCGACCCAATTTTTTGGGTTTACAACTACTAATGTTCAACTCCGTAGCCTTGTAATTTTGAACCCAATTCAGAAGACAAGGGAACTCCTGAATCAAGTATTGGGAGAAATTTGCCTTCGTGGAGATTTTTTGATGGAACTTACCCGCCATTTCCTCTTCATGTAACCATTTGCGTTACATGAAGAGGAAGACCACGAGAACCTCCAACGATTAGCCTGACGGCAAAGGGACTCTAACCCATGATCCGTCTACCAATGAGGATATTTCACGCCAGTACTGTGGTTCGTGCAAGCCGGGTCCGGAATTCGTATCGACAGCCATCGCTGGGATTGAAACCCGGTTCACCTCACTGGAAGATGAACGCTCTATCCCCTGAGCCACCACGACTCAAAATATGGTATTTTAGCAAACTCGTAACGACTCTTCATACTAACCCTCTCTCATCTATCCAATTAAAATCGTAACGATGTTTATTTAAAAAAAGCTTCAGCACAAAAAGTTTTCTTGGTGTAAAACCTATATTTCCCTACAATCATAATTTCAAATAAAAATCGATTTATGTGACTATTTTTTAAACGTTGTGTGCATAGAAAATGTCAGTTTTCATTTGTAAGTTCGATATTTTCTAAATGACGAATTATTTAATCACCGATAAAAAATTTGTTTTCGTTACTAGTGATACCAAACGCAACGAATTTCAAAGAATCTTTTATTAGCTTATCTTCTTTCGTTGCTGCAGCAACAAATGATAAGTGAAAGTCTTCTTAACTTGATGTGTCAATACTTCAAAGCTGATTGCAACAAATCAAGTAAAGGGGAACAGCTTACCTTATCTTGAATTTTTATTTTAGGCTAAATTGTGGAGTCAACAGATGGACACTTTATCTTAAAAAGGAAGATAAGACGACAAAAAATGCAGTATTGTGCAATTTTAACTGCGACAAATAAAAAAGGGAGTGTTGAAATGAAAGTTATTAAAAGTTACTTTCTCTACATCAACCTATTTTCTGCTTGCATGTCAATTTTCTTTCTGAAAACCTACTTCCTTTCAACACGCCTACATCTTTTCCAAAAGTCTACTAGCCCTTTTTACAATCCTGCTTTTTTTTACCACAAACCTATTTGTTTTTTAAAAGCTTACTTTCTTTCTACTATCATATTTTTCTCTTGCAAACCTGCTTTTTTTTGACGCACCTACATCTTTTTTTTTTTCACAAGCTTACTTGTTTTCTCTAAACCTGTTTTCTTTCTACAAGATTACTTTCGTTCTCTAAGCCTACTTTCTTTCTACAAGTTTACTTGCTTTCTCTAAGCCTACTTTCTTTCTACAAGCTAACTTGATTTCTATAAGCCTACTTTCTTTCCTCAAGCTGACTTGGTTTCTATAAGCCTACTTTCTTTCAGCAAGCTAACTTGATTTCTATAAGCCTACTTTCTTTCTACAAGCTGACTTGATTTCTCTAAGCCTACTTTCTTTCTACAAGCTAACTTGATTTCTATAAGCCTACTTTCTTCCTACAAGCTAACTTGATTTCTATAAGCCAACTTTCTTTCTACAAGCTGACTTGCTTCCTACAACCCCACTAGCTATCAGCATAAACGTATTTGTTTATTCAACAAACATAATATCTTTCTACAAGCACTTTTCTTTTCTATTAAAAAAAAAGTAACAGTCAACTTGCTTTAGGAATTTCAGATTCTGCAGTATTTGGTTTTGCAGAGAGAATATGAAAATATGCCTGTGTTTCAAAAAATAAGCTATATATAAAAAAAAAGCGGAAGTTCCAAATATATGTTTTACTACACGCTCAAAGATCAATATTAAATTATCCTACAATACAATCTCTTAAAAATTATTTTAATGCAATTTTTGTAGCTGTTTTGAAAATTATGTTATAAATTGTTTTATAATTGTGATATTTCGTGACCATTTCTAAAAATAAGTAGTGAATTTAATTTTTTGTCACTGATATTAAAATTTCGGAGTATCTCGTGTTATTAAGATAATTAAGGAATTTTCATGGCTGAAAATATTGCTTTGCTAGAATTTCATTTTCTGCTCCATGCCAAAGCTGAGATTAAAGCAAAAATATATTTGTCATTAAAATGTTTTAGAAAAAATAGTTTTTGACAAAAAAAGAAGTTAAACTCTTTAGGTTTCAAAGAAAAGAACAGCACTACAAGACAGCCTAATAAAATACACAAATTACTATTCTTTCATTAATTGATACAGCAGCCAACAGCCAAATGAAAACAATGTTTGCAAGTATACTGTAGAAAATTTTGGATAAAATTACATTACAAAATACTGGAACCCCAAACGCTGGAACTTTTCATCGTAAAATTAATTTTTAAATTTAAATAGTAAGTTTTGGCATTAAAATATAGCCTAATAACTTACTATTCATTCATTAATTGATACAAATGAAAACAATATGTGCATCACTGTAAAAAAATCCGGATAAAATTACGGTTAAAAATAGTGACACCCTACGAGGCGAAACCTTTTATCGTAAAATCTATTTTTACAGTAAAATTTTACAGAACAAAAATATCTGACGTATCGTAATTATCACATAATATTTACTATAAAATCACTGAATCACTGTGAGTAACTAAATATTACTGTAAAAATTACGTAATCAAATTTTATGGTAAAAATAGATTATACGGATGTTGCTTTCAGGGTGACAGTACAGTACTTTTTACCGTAATTTTTCACCGTGTGTGTTTATTCTGCTATGTGATGGATAAATAAATACTTGACTTAGGTAACATTTTTATTTATGATATTATGCATAAATACAATGATTTAATCAACTTTTGAAAAAAGTGCTGCAAAGAGAAAATAACATCAAAACATCAATTATTTACATAAATAAATGTAGTCTCTGTTCCTTAACAATAATTTGATTTACGTTATGTTGAAAGAAACCGAGAAGGTGCTTATAAAAATCAAATTAAAATCAAAATACCACTTTAATACACAAAGAACAGTCATTGCAATATACATATATTATTTTAAGAAGCAATAAAATACTTGCAACAGATGTTTTTGAAATTTTATTTCATAAATCTCTTCTTAACTTTGTAAGTTCGATCACACACACAATCTTTTATCTCTTACAAAACTTATCTATTTCAATAACAATTATTAATGAATACTATTCGGAATTACTTTATAAAATGAACATTAGATAAAGGTGAATACTTTCATATGCTGTAACTGGTATAGTATAAGTAGCTTATTTTATATGTAAAATAACATGAAACATTGTTTCATGTTATTTATTTTATATATATATATATATATATATATATGTATACTCGTATATTACTCATTAATTTTAATTTTAAGACAGCCNGGTGTATATATATATATATACACTCTTTTCATTAGTGGTCACGATCACGAAAAGCGTCTTGGCAAAAGTCTAATGTCATTTTTTGTGGTAAAATTATCCCTCCAAATCCGTTTTAGGTTTTTAACTGTAAGGATTACGTTTCTGTCATAAAAAGTGGGTGTAATAAAAAGACTACTGTATTTCTAACGGTTGGAGGTACGCAATCACTTTTAACATCAATCTTGAGCGTACAGATCAGAATACGTATGTACAAAATTTTATTCGATCACTCAAGCGGTATGCTTTTTATAGTGTCATTTGCAAAAGAAATATTTTATAATCACCCTCTAGGATGTGATCTACCAAATTTTGTAATCCACTGAAATCACCCGGCCATAATCCACCAAAACGAAAAAAAGATGATAACAATGGCATTGCCGGGCACAACTAAACGGAAGCAATCAAATTTAACAATATAAAATCATTGATTTCCTTATGCAATTATCAATTAAGATAAATGCTTTTCACATATTTTAGTTTGATTCTTAAGAGCTATGATAAAGCTGCCTCATTTAGTCAAATAAAAATCTCAGTTCAGGAGACAAAAATTTAAAAAAAAAAAAATTTAAAAATTGTATTGAATTAATACCAAATGCACATTGCAGTCAGAGAAAATAATAAAAATGATCGAGTACAAAAATATGCGCTGTTTAAAAAGAAAATATATTTAAATTTGAAAAAAAAATGTAAACAACAACGAGATGAAATTATTAAAAACACGACAAAGAAATAAATCAATCGAAATACTGCATTAAAAATATGCAAGCTAACAACATCAAACCACTGCTTGTCTAAAATATATTTTTAAAGACATGTCAATGTTTTTAATGTAAGAAATTTGTTCCTTCAAATGACTTTGACTATTAAAAAATTGGCTTAGAAACCATCGTCACCACCGGTGTAGTCGATGTCATTAACATTCTTGTTGACTTTGTAAAAATGTGGTTTGGCATATCCCCTGTAGTTGCGTCTCCAGAAAAGGAATGAAATTATCAAAACGAGGAGGAGAAGACCCATGATAACGCCACAAACTATTAGAACAATATCAGACAGCTCATATCCACATGATAGTTCAGGGCCCTTTAGTTGACTCAAAGCAATACCATCAAGATCTGCTGGGGTGGCGCACCTAGAACGAAAGCAAGCAATTTTTATGCATTGATATGAAAATTAATACTCTTTAAAATGAAGATTAATCAGTTAAAATATTTAATCGATTTTCTTTGCGTTATTGAATTTGTCACTAACAGCAACTTCCATTGGCCAAATATCTAATATTTCCATAGAACATTTTCCTGTTAAAAGTAAATAGAAAAGACCTGTGCACATGATCAAGTGATAAGACGTAGGTCACTATGGGCCTAATATCACTATGGTGTCTTGGTCTGAATCCAGACTAGTTTATAACCATAACATGGTTTTACGAAGCTCTTTCGCCAAGAAAAATAAAATATAGCCCTGTTCAAGGGTCTTACAATTAAAGAAGAACTATAATTTTAAGTCATATATGCTATCTTGCTACGAAGAATTATCTGGGCTTTTAGAATTGACAAATAACTTTAAAACTGAACTCAGTGGAACAACAGCCCATAGTGTCTACTGTATCCATCTCAGTTTTCTTGACCTTGGGCTCTGGGGTGCAGGAACAGATGTTCACGTTAGGTGGTCAGCCAAACGCGGAACTCCCAGTGTTGAGTTCCCAAGCATGCTTGGTGCTCTTTCTTTCGACCCACTGAAGTGATGAAAGGCTGAGTCAAACTTGCCCGGCCGAGAATCAAACCCAGGACCTGTAGCAGGAGAGAGCGAAACGCTACCACTCACCGAGCGTCCAAATAACCTTAAATATTTTAAAAATTATTAGGCTTTTTAAAAATTTATCAAAAATGCTGCCTTATTTATTTAATTTTTTTTTTGAAATTATGAGACAAGATAGTGCAATATTGGTCTAAGTTTTTAAATATTTAAAAATTAGATCTCCAATGCTTTTCTTTTTCACAAAACTGTGACTTTTCTTTATATTGAAGCTTTGTGCCATTTTTCGAATAAGCATTGAAAGCGCTGACTTTAGTTAACTAAACTCGATTTAACAGTCATGAGTAACTGTTGCAAACTCACAACAGTTATTAAGATAACATATTATTCACAAAAAAGCGTTATATTATCTGACGACGGAGCCTTCGAAAAATACCTATAATAGTAAGCGGTGCTCTAATCAGCCGCTTCATCAAGTGACAGTTTGGTATCCTAACACGCACGCATATTCCTAAATTTTCGATGCGTAAGAACAGGATTTTAACTTCTGCAATAGATCAGAATAACATTCTGAATGGACTTTCAAAAGTCACATTGGTTTTGTTGTCACCCGAAGTGTAAATCCGCTTAAGGTGTAAGGTTATGTTCCTTAGTTATTCCATTATAAACCAATTTTTAGTGTTTATTGATGTCAGTTTTAATTTACAGTTGAAACTTACAAAACTGAAAGTAGAAATTAGGAAAATTGCGTTAATACAACACCTCAGTGAAATTTTGGAAATTTTGGTTTAAATTTTGGAAATTTTGGTTTAAATTTTGGAAATTTTGGTTTAAATTTTGGAAATAAGTTTTAAACTATGAAACTTACTTTGCATGGCTTTGGAAATCATTTTTCAACTTTGTGTTGATCATCCACGCTGAGTGGCAGTCACAGTTAAGTGGGTTGTCTCTCAGATGCATTTCTAGACCTTGGTTCCAATCCAGTAATGTTTGAGGTATCTTTTTTAAATCATTCTGTCTCAAGAACAATTGAGCTAAGGAAACTTTTTGTTTTGTGGATCTTTTGACAAACGCATATGGTTCAATCTCGGATAACCGGAAATTGTAACTGCAGTGCAGCTCTTCAAGGTGAATCAAGTCTCCGAAGGCGTAATCTTCGATTGTTGTCAAATGAGACATTCTATCCATGTACAGTGTCACCAGTAATCTCATACCCCTAAAAGCCTCTTGGTGAACAACTTCAATCGGATTTCCACTCAGATCTAGAGTTTTCAAATGGTCCAGCACGTGAAGTGCTTCTGTAGGCACCATATTCAGTTGATTGCTGGCCAATTTCAGAAACTTAAGGTTGGGTGTAAAAAGAAACACGCGATCAGGAATGACCTTAAGCAAAGTAGACTCGAGATCCAATTCTTCTAGTTTTGTCAAATGTTCAAAATGCTTCGGTTCCAGCTCTTGTAAGGGGTTGTTCTTCATGACAAGTTTTCTCAGCTCACTCAGTTTAGCGAAGTGCCCCGGGAAGACGTTTGCCAAATTGTTGAAACTGATATCCAGGTATCTTAAGTTGCCCAAACCTTCGAACATGCCCTTAGGTAAATTCCAGATACGGTTGTGGCTAAGATCAAGCCTTACTAATACCTTGAACGCTTTAAAAGCGTTGATACTTACGAAATCTATTTGATTGAAAGACAAATTGATCTCTGTGATTCCACGAGCACTGTAAAATGTATCTGAGTTCAGGTTGGATATTTTATTTCCTTGAAACTGAGCAATTTTGATGTCTGGAGGAAATGATACTTCCCTTGGAAGTTCTATGATACTCAAATGGCTACAATCCACGTGTTGGTGAAATCCATCGCATAAGCATTTCTTAGAATCTGTCTTATCATTTTCTGCCGATGTTTTTAAAGATATGCTACAAATGCTGTTCAGTAGAGGGGGAACAACCGGCTTTGCAGTGGAAGATGGACTTGCAGATTCTGTGCTTGCAGTAGAAACATCAGGAGTTGGATTTTCTGTTGTAGGGTTTGAATGGTCAGCAACTGAGATTGAGCTACTTACATCTGAAAGCACCGTAGTGTCAGTTATTTTGTCCTTCACATCCTTTTCTTCTAATGTAGTCGAACTCACATCTTGAGCCTTGCAAACACCATGAATAAATAAGAATGCTAGGAAGATCCTCATAGCAAAATGTTGATCCATTTTCTAAAAATAAGAAGATTTGAATTTATGAGAGAACAATTCTGAAAAAAAAAAGTGCTTAGAATCATTCTTAAGAGAAGCAATCGTTCTTCAAATGCAATCTTAGAAAATTCTCGATATTCCAATCGGTACCACATTTTATAATATTGTGATTATAGTTCTTAAAATAATGACTTTTTTTGTATCCATATAAAACATTCACAAGCTATAATGAGTTTTTAATAATTTGTTTATTTCAAAGAAGTAGACTTTTTGAAGTTAAATTTTCTTGAAAAATAAGCATTTAATTGCACTTTCATAAATTAGTAGATCAAGATTACCCAATAAAAAAAATTGCACAGGGTAAAAAAAAAAAAAAAATGCTTCAAGATTTTTAGCGATAAAGAGTGCGCAAATAAATAAATAAACGAAGCACCCTGAAACACTTTTGATTTAGTGATCGGAGTTGAGCCGTGGTGGCTCAGGGGATAGAGCGTTTGCCTTCCAATGAGGTGAACCGGGTTTTAATCACAGCGATGAATGGTCGATTTGAATTCCAAACCTGTCTCACACCGACCACAGTGCTGACGTAAAATTTCTTCAGTGATCGACGGATCATGGGTTAGAGTCCCTTGCCGTTAGGCTAATCGTAGAAGATTTTCGTGGTTTTCCTCTCCCTCTAACGAAAGTGCAGTTTAGTTCTGTCAAAAAAGTCCTCCACGAAGGTAAATTTCTCCCAATACTTCATCCAGAAGTTCCCTTGTTTTCTGGATGAAGTTCAAAATTACAAGGCAACTACTAATTAAACATTAGTAGTTGTAAAACGCAAATATTGGGTCAGCTGTTTAACGATGGTTATAAAATTAAAAATAAAATAACTTGATCGGAGTTTCATGCACTATGACTTAATTTAAAGATTCGAAGGACTAACCTAAAATAAAATAATTACTAGGGAAAACGATAGTTTAAGTTACGAAATCAAACACAAAAATGTACTTTTTCTGAATAAAAAGTATTTTCGAATAAGCCCGTTGGGGACCAAGGGGTTCATGAAGGTTAAAGCTCTACGATGTTTTGACCAACGACATGATAGTGGCAATGTGGTCATCAATGCGCACGTGCCTCATTTACTTCCTAGACAAATTGATATCCATCGATCTGATGCTGGTTGGGCCTGAAACCAACAATGGGAATCGAACCCCAATTCTTCACAATGACAGTTCAGCTTTTTAATCACTCAGCCATCGAGGCTCTTTTCTGTACATTTTTGACGAACTTGATTTCTGATCCTCAAAATATAGGGAATAGTAGATCTCGGAAATACGGTCCTGGTAGTTTGGCCGGAAGAAGAGTTCAAATTTGGACCCTTTGATGTTAGTTTAAACTTTTTGCATAGTTTTCCATATCTCGGAAATTTTTTAAGCGAAATGAAAATTTATTTGCTTGCAATTATAAAATTCGTTTTTCTAAGGATAACTCCATGCAAAAATAATTATTTTTTATATTCTCATTTAATAATTGTAGGAAAAATTTTTAATTTTGAGGTATACCAATTTTGCACATCATTTTAAAAAATGTAATCTTATATGGCAAATTACAAAACTTAAAAGAAATCGTTTGAACAGTTAGTTCTTAAAAAATCAAATTTTAAATATCTGCCATTATCTTTTTTTTCCTTTGCACACTGCACATATAAGAATGCACATTATCAGTATAGAAATGCACATAAAACATAGCCATTGTCAATCATTTAAGCATACCAGTTAAAATAAGTAAATAAAAAAACGAATGACAATTTAAAATCTTATTTTTATTATTTATACAAATTACTATCACTTTAACATTACGATTAATTTTCAATGCGGATAAAGTTAAAATGTTTATATAAATTAATCAGTAAATATTTTAATGGTACCAAAGTAAATTGTTTTATATAATGTATGCTTCAATAATTTGAAAAAAGTAGTTCTTGAAATCATTATTAATTATGAATGCAAAAAAAAAATGTAATAAGATTCACTTGATTTCAGAACTAGTGGGAAAAAAATTAAAATATTATCTGAAAAGTTTTAATTTTTAATATGAATATAATGGAACATATAATATTTCGAAATTATTTTTTACCTTTCGTAATTAAAGCAATGTGTAAGCATTGAAAACAACAAAATTATATTTGTATGGCTTAAATGCCATGCAGTATAATAGATGTATAATATTAATTGCCATACAAGTATAATATAATTATTAATAGATATTAATACTCGCAAAAAAGATCTTTCGTCTGGTAATTGTATCGATCTTGTCATGATTTTTATATAAATAATTTTTTACTGCAGTGTTAGAAACTTCTAGGCAAAAACGGTTAAATAGCTATTTATTTCATTGTTATTTTACCTTATTCTACCGAAACAGTTATATAACCATAGAAAATGATATTCAAACTGTTAAGAGTGAGAAAAAAATATTGATTGTTTTTTTGTAATACGGTTAAACAACCAGAATTCTAACCGCACTAACTAGGCCTACCTTATAAAGTCATTTATTTCCGCGCAGCTGAGTGCATACTGAAGCTGAAAGGGCTAATCAGTCAATCTCGTGACCAGATGAGCAGGGGCTGGAATCCCAGCGTTGTAATTACAACATTTTTTCATTCCTTCAATGCATGAAGACTTCCCAGTATCCCGCAATCTTCAATCTATGACCCTGGACTGTTAGAAGTCGAAACTATCTTTCACACAAAAATAGCGCAACACCGTCAATTTAAGTTTTATTTTTATGGTTTAGAAACTCTGCTAATTGTAAATGGTTACAAAACCGTACAGTTTTGTATTCACGGTTCTTTAACCGTATCACTTGTAAACGGTTTCAATAACTTAAATGTAAGGAAAATGCTTTCAATCATAAACTTTATGATTAACGGATGAACAGATTGCTCCTGGTTATTTTGCAATAATTTCAGAATGAAAATTTTAACAGTGTAATAACTCTATAATTTTTTAATATTTTTATGAAATTCGATACAAAAGGTTTTTTGTAAATTTTAGTGACAGAAAATTCTGCTTCTACTTTTAAATTTTTATTTTATTTTAAAGTCTGCATTTCAATTTTAGACGCATTTTACATATGAATGTTACATCATAAAAAGCTGAAGGTCGTCATTCCATTTTGTGTATTTCAATCGAACAAAAACAGTACTTGGTAAGATCATTAATAAACAAAATAAATGCATAAAATCCAGATACCTTTGGTTTTTCTCAACATAATATTAACAAATGAAAGTTTAAATAGTATTTACCCGGAAATCATTTATTTATCTCTAATTTAGTGATATTTATCTCTAGTATTCAACGTTCCTAATTTTGATTTCAAAACTAAGAGCTCAAAATTAAAAGTGTTATAATTAAAGTGTTGTTGATATTATATTATAATGAAATCGCATGATGTTATCTAATCATGCAAAATTTTGTAAGAAAGATAATCATTTATAAATAATAAATAAATAATTTGTATTTAGTTTTATAAAATATATTAAATGAAACTGCGTACAGGCAGCGTATGCGGTTAAAATAATAAAAAAATAACAACTTAAATATCTAAAGCGATATTAAGAATAAACATTTCGCTTTATTGCTAAGTAATCTTTTTAGTAAAAATATTTAACGTGTTTTTAGAGTGACTAAAATCTAAATAAGAATTTAATTTTAATAAGTTTGCGGCTAAATTTGCAATGATGTTTGAGCAAAATTATTTCATAAATAATTATTTTAATAGATTTAAAATCTGTATTAATGCAATAAATATTTTTGAACTTTTAATTGGATAGTTTCTCTTTTGATGTTGCCCGTTTATCATCACGAAACAAGAAAAAGGGCAGTAAATAATTCTAGTGGTATAGAAATGATGATTAATATTCTGAAGGATGGTAGTAAAAAATTAAAGATAAAAATTTGCGAAAAAAATGTAGTAAAAAATTGTATTTAATAATGTTTGAAGAAAAGGTTGTAAATAGGTAGTAAAGGTAGTAAAAAAGGTAGTAAATAATTCTAGTTGCATTGAAATGATAATTAATATTCAGAAGGATGGTAGTAAAAAATTATGGATAAAAATTTGTGAAAGAAAGGTAGTAAAAAATTGTATTTAATAATGTTTGAAGAAAAGGCTGTAAATAATGCTTGTAGGTAAGAATTGTAGGTGAAATGTTTGGAAGAAAAATAGTAAATAATTCAAGTAGTATAGAATCATTCTTATAAATTTCCGGAGGAAAAGTAGTAAATACTTCTCTAGAAGTAAACTAAAGCTTAATGTATGTTGAAAGGAGGAGGAAGTATAACCATTACATTGTAATTGATAATGTAACATTGGATTATAAAAATTGAATATCATTATTAAAATAATAGTTAAATATTTTCCGAAGAATTGTAGGAAATAATTATAATAAGAAAATATTATGAATAAAGAAAGGTAGTAACGAATTGGAATTAAAAACATATGAAAATCAGTAAATAATTCGAGTAGTTAAAAATTATAGTTAAAAATGTCCGAAGAAAAGATAATACATAAGTCTGGTATTCGAGAATTATAGTTAAAATGTTTATAAGAATGGTAGTAAATAATTTTGATAGCATAGATTCATAGCTAAAAATTTCCTGAAGAAAAGTAGTAAATACTTCTGGTATTAGAGATGACCGGAGAAAAGGTAGTAAATAATTCTAATTGGAAAGTTCTAGTAGGGAAAGAGTTCTCAAATCCTCTATTTTCATTTTGACATTCAATAAGCTAGTTTAATTTTATAATTAAAAATAATTATAAAATCTACATGCTTAATATTCTGTAACTTAAAAGACAATCAATTCAGTAGAAACAAACGCTTTATAAATTAATTTAATTAAGTAAAAAAGTCAACGAGACTACTTCTAGTTCAACAAAATTAATAAACAAAATACAATTTAATCTACCTATATTTTTAAATATTCAATTTAACGTCTCAAGGTTCATGAATATATTTTTATTTTATCCATATTTACATTACTTTGATATAAGGGAATGAATGATACGTTTTAAATACGTTCAAAATAGCATACGATACTTAATTACGCAAATTATACAGAGAATATAAATATTGTCTTACCGTTAATTTATCTTACGAAATCATAAGAACGTTCGATCTTCTTGAAAATCGTTTTCAATCTTTTTTTGTAGAAACCTATTGCATTAGCGGTGCACAGGTAGAATATTAAAAATATCACACAAAGTTCATGTTAGATAAAAGAGGAAAATTATCTTTCCAAGTAGCTGATAAATTTGGCGGACGAAAAATGAAGAAAAGCATTTAATATTTTTCTTCGTTTCCTTTTCACCCTGTTAAACTCAATCTTTCGATTAAAAAGGAACAAAAAAAGATTAATGAGAAAACTGATAATATTTTAAAATTTTATTAAGTTACAAGAATAATTTTATATATGAGGATAAGAGGTCAAAAAAGAAGCAGGCGATTTAAATCATTCTTTAACGAAAAAATTAAGTCATTATCTTGCTCAAAAAAGATGCAGACGATTTTTAAAAAAATTCTTTATTTTATCTCTTAGCACAGGATTTAAATGTTGTTACTGCTAGTTTTAAAACGTTACATGCGTAATAATTTGATCAGAGAAAACTCTCTTCTCTCTTATGATAGAAGGTGTTCCGTGATCATCACCATTCTTCATATATATTATCTGNCATATATATATATATATATATATATATTATTCATATCAAAAATAAGCAATAATGTGCGTGAGTGTACAGTAAATCAGAAAAATCTAATGTGAAAATTTAAAAATACTAAACTTTTAAAGTTTTATAGATCTGGAAATATTATTCGGCCTAAGTGCTTCAAAATTTGCAATATTTAATTTAAAATTAAAGAATTTAATATTGTGTCGAAATTTATAAGTCATAGAATTCACAAGCCTTTCAACCGGTAGTAGAAAAAAATAATAAAAACTAATAACAATTATTAAAAAAAAAGTTTTTTACGTGGGTTTATCTTTGGATGAGCAGATTTTATATTAGTGCTTATTACCGAATCGACTTGCTTAAAAAGTTTTGCTTGAAAACTTTTGCTTGCCTCTCATCAACATCGATGATTCCTCCGCAATAATTATTGTTTCATGCACTAAAACTTTTTCAACGAGAGTTGAAATTATGCACTTAAAATGCAAATAATACTAAAACGAAATTGGTTTGCTTACGCAGATTTGTCGGAAAACTACATTATTTTTGTAGTTTACTACAACTACTTTGTTACTAACTACAACTTCTTTTTTTTTTAAATGTGGAGACTGCAAAACACTTTAAAATTGCAGTGACTACTTCACTACTTTAATATGACGAACTTTGGAGAAATTAGTTTAAACTTGTATCATTAACAATGATGATGACACATATTTTATTGAGTTTTTAATTTAATTTTAGCAGATCACAACTTAAATTATTCATGCATTAAAATTATAAATACTTTTTTCGGTTCCCAATTTCATTTTAGCTAATCACAACTTTTACATTATTTATATATGTATAATTTTGACAAGTTCTTTTTTGACTTTTTAATATTTTTCATATCTTTATTGAGATATCTAAGTTTATACCTAACCATTAACACAGCATAATAATTTATAAGAAATACCCAGAAGGCTCTGTTGTGGGTATTACAATTGAACCGGTCATACTCTACCCGAAAAAGATTTTCAACTAGCTTAATTTTTAGATTAGGAAGGTGGCAAATTTCTGGAAATAAAGAGGCAAAATTTCTTCCAAACTCTCATATAGTGCTAATTAAATTTTCAGATGAGTATGTTAAACCATCCTTAACACCATTAAATTCCTTAAAATGTAACAATCAGGAACTTTCATCAACTTATGTTTTTGTTCAGGAACTTATGTTTTTGTCAGCCAATAACAACAAATGGCACACCTTACATTGGAATTGTGCATATTTGTTCTTGGGGACAAAACCAGCAGCATAAGCACCTGAATTCCGTTCACTTAGCTCATAAGTAGTATTTGTCCCATCAGGCATATCAACTACAGCATTTATTACGTTAGTAATATCAACCGTTGTATTTATACCATCAGGAACGTCAACTACTTAATTACTTGACTAGGAATCATCAACGTTGGAGTTCAACTCAGATATTTCAGAAGCTGTAAGCACTTCAGTGAGAATCAGAACAGTATCATTGTCTGGCTCACAATTCGATATTCCACAAGTGCTAATTATATTTTGTACAATTATCATGTAAGCTCTCTGTTAAAATTCATGTGCTGTTGGGTGATCATTGTTTCCACCCCTGCGTATAACAACAGAGAAAAAATTCTCAATTGCATCATGATTAAACTTGAACATCAGTATGAAAAGTACAGCATGGTTATTTAATATCCGAGGTACCAATTTCATAGCTGCACTCAGGGTGATTTGCCATCCCAAAAAAGAAGGAAGCAGAATTTCCACCCCTCAGTTCAGTGAAAAACTCAAGGGATTTTAGATTCATTCCATAGATTCAATCCAGGTACTGATGTGGAATGAAGCTAGTGTAACAGCCGAAAGCGAAGGCTTTGTTGTGCTTTTCAAGACAGGACCGTTCAAACTGTCAAACAAATCATCAACAGTAGAACAGAAATTAGCTGTATGTGTAGCAGAAGGTGGTAATCGGCCAAAAGTACTTAGAACATTAAGACCAGCCGCAACAGATTTACTTAAAATCTGTGCAGCAAGTCTAACAATTCTTGAACTTAGTTCATCAACCTCAATATGCTTTTGAGATAATTCTGGAATAACTCTGTGAGTTTGTTTGGAATCAAATTCCCATAAAGTCACATGACTCCACTTGGCAACCTTAAAGCAACTAAACCGATCATATTTCTTAAGGATGTTGCGCAAGTTTTTTAATAAATGGGACACATCAAAAAATGTAAAGATTTCGTGACCCTCAACTAAAAAAGGGAACTTTCAACTGTTGCGCCTAATTCTTTGGCATCTAACTTTTGGTTGTTGGCCCCTTGATCATCCACAACAGCAACAGTTATCAAACCACACTGAAATAACTTACTTAATAAATCATTAAGATTTTCAGAGCGGCTGATGGAGCTAGCTATTTGTGACGGAAAAAGTAACCAATAACCTATTTCTTGCAAAGACCAAGTTCCATAAAACCAATAATTAAGTTATAATATTTTAAACTCGCCAACCCCCGAAAATTGCTACGCAAATTGCTATGGTTTGCTTCGCAACCAAGCTCGCTTCGCTCGCTACTAACTTAGGTACATTGCAAATGCACAAAATTCTAAGAATTCAAAACAATCATTCAAAGCCATATAACAACTTTTTTTTTTAAAAAAAAATTACATCTTTTTAGTAAGTACTAAGTCATTAAAATAAATTTGAATTCAAATGACACGACATTCAAATGACACGTAATTCGTTAAACCTATTAGAAATGTGCTATAGTATAAAATCTTAAGATAAAATTGCTAAAACTGATATCTCTTTAAAAAGGTTAAAATTTTGGAGATAATTAATCGTCAAATAAATTGGTAATACATAAATTCGTGAAAAAAAGCGCTTTCGACAAAATACTAAAATAGAGATCAAAGACTACTCACTTCTGCCTAGCTTAATAGCATGAGATTGCCGCAGCTGATAGTGTGATAGCTGACATTTGGTGAGAATGCTTTCTCTGGTTATTTCAGTTTCAATTTTTAAAAACACTATATGTTGAGCCACCTCAGTTGGATTTGGCATGTGACATTTTTAGCTGCAATCATTGGTCGATTTTCCAGCGTTGCCATTCAGGGAGTTGTAATGAGGCTTTTTTTTGTCGCCGTGTAAGAGAAATATATATATAGATAAGTGAATAGTTTATGATAATTATTTAATAATGGCTAAACAATTTTCACTTGCTGATTCTCTCAATAAATTTAATGGTGATAAGGAGGATAATTAGGATTTTTTTCTTAATAATTTAGAACAAATTGCAGTATTGGAAAAATGGGATGATGAAAAAAAAAGAATTTAAGTTTAATTTATATAACAAGACTTTAAGAATTGTTAGTGAGGCTAAAATTCCAGATAATGAATATGATAAAATAGTAGAATTATTGAGAAGTAAATTTTCTAGGAAGCAAAACTATTCAGGAATTCAAAATCAATTTTAACACATTATGTCAGAAACCTAACAAAAGTATTAAGAATTAAATTGAAGAAGTATAAAAAATAACTAATAACTATATAGATATTGACAACAATAGTAATAAACAATCTTTAAAATTAGCTGCTAAAATGAAATCGCAAAAATTATTCGATAGAATGAGACCAGAAATCATAATTTAGGTGATGAAAAAAGGCGTGACTGATTTCGAACTAATTGGCGAAATTGCTCAAGGTTCAGAAAAGGCACTATCATGAAATTGACTTTTCTCACTATTGTTAAATTATTTCCCGGGTGAAATATAATTAACGAGTTCTTATAGTAATTAAAATTTAGATAATAATATTTAAAATAAAAGTTTGCGAAGTTGAAATAAAACCCGAGACAAATGATTAGGTTTAAATTTTATTCCAATAAAATGGGAAACTAAATCTGTGTTTATACAAGGAAAAATTTTGGTATGTTTTATTTGAATAATTAAAAATTTTGATGTAATACTATTTACAGTCAACAAACAAAAATGATGGTTGAATGTTTAATGTCTGCGTAATTTCTCATAAATCAATGCATAAAACCCGATACAGTTCGATACAGTTCAATATATTTATGCTTGCACATTTTGTGTAATAAAATCATCATTTTTTCGCAATACTGCTCTAGGGAAAGACAATATATCTAATTTATTCAATTTTCGTTTCAGTTTCTATAAGGTTATATATTTACTTATAATTAGTTATTACAAAAATACCTAACAATTAAAATATCTAATACTTGTGCTAAATACCTAATACTTATAATAAGATTATAGACGCATAATAGACATTTGGATTTTATCAAAGAGGAAAAAGAAAAATGGCAAAATTTAAAGGTACTTTAAATCTCTTCAATATAAAAAATTACAGATCAAATCACGATAAAAAATCCAGAACTCAAGGTTCCGGTACTTTTTACAGTAAAATTCAATTTTTACTGGAACATGTTACGGAATAAAAAATCTGATATACCATTTATTTTTACAGTAATAATTACCTTAATCACTGCATCACTCTAATTAAATAAACATTATTGTAAAAATTACGGTATAATATGTTTCTGTAAAAATAGATTTTACGGTAAAATGGATTTTATGGATGATTTACCCAAAGTGGCGGTACTTTACGCCGTAATTTGATCCGAAATTTTTGACAGTGTGAGAGACCCCGCACCCTGCTTGCTTCGCGCATCAGCCCTTGTGAGTGCTTCTCATTGTTTTCTTCAACGTCAGGTATTCATTAAGATAATCGTAACCTAATATGTATATAAATCATTCTTTGTTTATAGTCACTTATCTCTATGTTGTTTTTTTTTTTTTTTTTTTTTTTTTTTTTTTTTTTTTTTNGGTTTTTTTTTTTTTTTTTTTTTTTTTTTTTTTTTTTTTTTTTTGGAGGTGACTGATAAAAGAAATTTGGTATTACGCTACACTATAGGAAGTACTACACAAAAAACACCCGTATTTTGTTTGTTAATTTTTATTAAATCAGAATAAATATTAACAAACAAATATACTTTGTATATTTGTAATATATTTTGTATATATATCTAATTTATTTTGTAATATATTTAATATATTTGTATATTATATATTTGCAATATATTTGTAATATATATTGCAGTATATTAATATATTAAATATATAATATTGTAATATATTTAATATATTTCGTCTGTTAAAATTTATTAAATCAAGCATTTAGAAAATTATAAGATATTTTATTCAGACCACATATAAGTCTTTATGAAAACACAATAATACTTACATCAATCATATTGAAATCGTTTAACCGAAAGGCCTTTTCTTTATTAAAAACATTTCAAAATTTGTCAACTAAAATATGCAATGATGAAATGAATATCATGGTTAAAATTTTATTTACTTGTTGAAGGAATGCTCATTTTTATATGAAACTTGTAGTTGTATTTTTCTGTATGCCGTATTTTAAGAAATCTTAATATGTACTCATGTGTTGAACACCAAGTTTGTACTCTTCAACATTATCTAAAGATTTAATGATTTATTGATATTTTCACTATTATTTTATGTATTATGTTCAGATGGGGGGCAATCATATCCTGAATTCTGGTAAAATTACCGTACTTTATTGTTATGACATTTCGGGTAAATGAAATTATTATTCTGATTATAAAGATCAAAATATACCATATTTAATATATTCAATGGCAATTCTTCCATTCGTATGATAAAAATTTACTGGAAATTCTGGTTTTCAAAATTATAGTTTTTATTAATACACATTTAGCAAAAAATGCAAAGCAGAAAAGTAAGTTTAATCGAGTAAATGAAGGTAATGTTCCAAAACATCATTGTAAAATTACTAAATTTTACCATATTAACCAACTTTTGTCCCTTTTTACGAAACCATATTTTATTTTTAATTTTATTTTTAGTTTTACTAAAATCATTACCAAAGTTCTTCGATAAAAAAACTGAGCTTTTTGGTGTTCCCATAGAGTCAGAAACAGGGCAAATTTTACCATATTTTGGTATTTACGTGCATACTTGTTTTCTCAGGATAGCATTTAATTATTTAATGTTCCCCGACTGTAAAAATTTAGTAAAAATTTTGTATTAGTTTAGCCAATAAAAACAAACATGTATTTGTATTTTTATTTTATTTAGATCAAAAATTAATCTATTATCAAAATTCTATTAACTGAAGTATCATAATTTAACTATCATTTGTTACTTATCCGTTAGTTGGGTATGAAACAAAAGTCCTATCAGCAAAAAGCAAACTATTTTGAAGACGACTATTTCAAAGTATGCACCGCTTTAAAATAGTCGCCATGTTCTGGCGATGGCCAGTACGTTAAAAACTAACTTAAAAAAAAATCACAGAAAGAGACAAATTCATCGAAGTCACTTTATACAGGGTTATTCATAATTCCCTCCGGGGTTTCGAAGCGTTATAGTAAAAAAACGAAGACGTATATGGCAAAAAAGAGCATATGAAATTATTCCGAAATTATTCAAGTTTTAATATAAGCAGTTGCCGGTAGATGGCAGTAACATGTACCACTAAAGCCAGTTGCAAAAAAGAAAAATGGCGTTTACAGGCGGAGGGAATAATGAATAACCCTGTATATCACGACATTATCTTTATCAATTGAAAGTGCAAGAACCTTGATGTAGCACTTGGTGACACTGACTGTTGTAGTTGGTGCCATCAAGATCTGATGCGTCCTTTATGTAAATTAAAGTCCATCAGAGTCAAATATATCAACTGTTATCCATCTGACAGAAAAGACTGATACACAGCAAATAAATAAGTATTCATTATATATTTCCCAATCCTCAGTCATAATATTTTGTCAAACAAAATCGTCACCCCCATAATAGTCAATGCTAATATCATTCATAACAGTTTTGTCCATCTTGTGAAATTTCGCATTCCTTTGTTTTCTGCAATTCAAGTTCCAAACGAGCAATGAGGAAGCCAAGATGAGGGCAAGAAGAAACAAAATGACGAGAATTGAAATCAGAACTACGCCAGGCCAATCTTCAGTGACAATGCAAGTCAATTCATAATCTTTCAAATCACTCAAGGCTACATTTGCAAACTTTGGCGGAGAGAAACATCTGAAAATTTGAAATATATATATATATATATTTTAAAATGATTGCAATATTTAGATAGGAAAGTAATTCAGACATTAACAAACTTATAACAAAGAGCCATTTTCAAAAAGTTCATAACAAAGACACTTTTCTCTTAATTTACTTGATTTGGATTGCTTGCCTTTGTATCACGAAAACCAGTGTGTGCCTACGTTAAAAGTACCTATGTAGGCAACGAAGGCTCAGGGGATAGAGAGTTCACCTTCTAAAGAGGTGAACCACGTTCGAATCCCAGCAATGGCTGATCGATACGAATTCCGCATCTGGCTCTCATCGCCCACGGTGCTGACGTAAAATATCCTCAGTGGTAGATGGATCATGGGTTAGAGTAACCCTTGCTATCGGGCTAACCATGGGAGGGTTTCGGGGTTTTCCCCACCATGTAACGCAAATGTGGGTTAGTTCGATAAAAAAAAGTGGCAATTTTCCCCCAATTCTCGATCCAGGAGTTCCTTTGACTTCTGGATTGGGTTCAAAATTACAAGGCAACGGAGTTGAACATTAGTAGTCTTAAACCCAAAAATTTTTAAAAAATTTACATTTTTAACATAAAGCGTGTTATAAAATTATAGATAAAATGGAGAAAAAAAACTTCCCAAACTTTAAATGGCGTTTATCAAGATAACGTTTTTTTTTCTTCGTGAACTCCGTTAGCTTTTCAGTATTCATTCAGTTAGCTTGCAAATTTACTATCCGAAAAACTCGATTTAGCGTTTCACAGTGACGTATATCGGATCAATAAGTTGCAAGGCGTTATAAGAAGTTAAACTGAATCACGTTTCTGTTCAAGTTGATACACAGTATCATGTGATCGCCCTAAAAATAGTTTGTTAATCTGTGGGCAAACGGAAAATTTTAAGTGAAACGAAAGCTGCAGCATTGCTCTCGTGAATGCTACACTATTTAGTAAATCGGAGTTAAATTGATGTTATCGAGTTTTCCTCTATAGGAGCTTCAAGTATTGCTAAAAGAATGATTTTATTTTAAAACATTCCCTTTGTTTGAAGTAGAGTTCGAAACACATTGAATAATTCTTAAATAAGTAAATATGTCCTTTCAATGATTGGTCATAAAAACAAATATTTTAAAAGACAATTACGGTTCCGCTTCTTTTTAAGGGTAATGCCACTCTAAAACTAAAAAGAAAAATCAAATATAATTTTTATTTGCTCCGAATACATTATTTTTTTCTGGGCAAGAAAAAAGGGAGAATTTTGGTAACTGACTTCTTATTTCATACAATGAAACACATATTATACTTTTCAGCATATTATACTTATTAATTCTTTACTTATTAAAATATTATACTTATTGGATCCATATTAATAATTAATGCATAAATACTCAGGAAATAAGAACTGTAAAATATAGCTTAACTATCGATACTTATTCGCCAAGTGGCTGCTTTTTCACGACCACTTGGCAGTTTTCTGCAAACAGCTACTGCGCCACAGGGCTAGTGAAAAAATAGTCTACTTTAGGACTTTTATTTCGATGTAGTCTGCAATGTAGTTCGATGTTTAGGAATAAAGCATTAGGAATAAAACATTGATGAGTTTTCTCTTTGGGAGGACTACATTATAAGCGTCAGATGAATGCGTCTAATTTGAAGCTCGTAATATTTGCCTCACTTTGCTTTTCTAGTGCTCACAATCCACAGAGCTCAACCCTATTGAAGACTAGTGAAGCCCTTCATCATCTAGACCAACAACCAGACAATTTCACCTGATTAGAAAATAAACACAAACCAAATAAAAAAATGAGTACAACCCGAGGGTAGTGGTGGTCAAACGAGATATTGAGGAGGTGGGCATAAAAAAGTGACCACTCTGTGTGTGCACTAGATACTTACTTTATGTGCCGCTGAAAGTGATTTTGTAACTGCAAGCTAAGCATCCAGGTGACGTTGCAATCGCAATGGAAAGGATTACCTATCAAATGTAATTCCTTGTTATCACTCCAATTTAACAGCTCTCCAGGTATGTTTCTTAATCCATTGTGCTTCAAATATAGCCAAGGCAATGGCACTTTTCTATTTGTTGACTCCTCAACAAAGGCATTTGCAGCTATTTCTTGAAGTAGGAAATTATTATTGCACTGCAACTCTTGTAAATGCGTCATGTCACCAAAAGCATAATCTTCTACACGCGTTAAGCGGGACATGTTATTTAACTTAAGTGTTACCAAAGTCTCCAAGCCTATAAAAGCCTTTGAATGAATTGTTGTTATTGGATTTCGGCTCAAATCTAAAATCTTTAGATGTTCCAAAGGATATAATGAGATAGACGGTACTTCGGTCATTATGTTGTCAGCAAGATGAAGTATTCTTAGCTGAGGCGTGAAAACAAAAGTATGAGGCGGAAGTTCTGTCAACATGGTGGAGGCTAAGTTTAGGTAATCCAATTTATTTAGGTTTTCGAAACTTCTAAGCGTGAGTTCTCGAATAGGATTGGATTTAAGTGAAAGCGTTCTAAGTTCTGCAAGATTCTTAAATAATCCCGGATTTAAAAATATTAGGTTGTTAAAATTCAGGTAGAGTTCCTTTAAATTGATGAGATCTGCGAACACATCTTTTGGAACATTCCATACGTGATTGTGAGAGAGATCTAATCGAACCAGCCGATGAAAGTTTTTGAAAGCAGTTTTGCTGATGAAATCGATATGATTATGCGATAAATCTAATTCAGTAACATTTCCTCCGTTAAAGAATGTCTCAGGTTCGAGAGTTGATATTTTGTTCCCCTTAAAATTGACGACTTGGATGTACTTTGGGAACGATATCAACTTGGGAAGTTCGGTTAGGCCTAGATGGTTGCAATCAACGTCGCCATTTTGCTCATCGCAAATGCAGTTTTTATACTTTAGATTTTCATCTTCAACTGATGATACTAATGACATGTTACAAACATTTGTTGTAACATGATGCGAATGATGATCTTTTGGTAAAAGTGTGTTTGAAGGATGACTATGCTTTCCCTTGACATGAAATTCTTTTTCTTCCTTGATCGCATCTTTATCTTCAGCTTTAAATGAATAAAACAAGCATGCAGAATAAATGATGAATAAGAACAAGTTCATTTCTGAAAAAGAAAAGAAATTTTGAAGTATGAACGACAAAATATAGTTTAGTAAATTTATGTGAAAGATATTTATAATATACGAAGTGCACCGTGATTGCTACGAGTTTCTATATATAAAGAGAGTAATGCTAGAGTTTCTGTATATACCGTAGTTAGAAAATTATGACAAGCAACTTCACAATTGTCATATTAAGGATTGGAGTATTGAAAGATTACCACACTTGGTGAAGTTGCTCTCAAATTTCGTCTCCTTGCATTACATAAAACTTATACAAACTGTATTGAGTTACGTTTCGTTTCCTTTTTTTACCAGTCAAAAAGCTCAAACTACCCCAAAGTTTCTCAAATAATTGATTAACTGATTTAGCTATATAAATATGAAAATATAGTTTTATGTTTAGTTTGTTTACAAAATGTTTTACTGGAAATTTTATATACCTTTTTCTGCAAGAATAATGTTACATCAAAAAGAAGCTTTTATTGTAATTATAATTGCAAAACTTACTTGATAAAAACTGCATGTGGCTCTCCAAGTTTCTAAAAGATAATTATTTCCCAAAATTTGTGATTATCTAATATACATAATTCTCTTACGTGGCTCCCAAAATTTGGCTGTATTTCTTTTGCACCGGTGGCAACGCTTGCTTTGTTTTGTTTACGTTACTATTTCTCTTACACGGCGAAACGACCAATGATTGCCGCTAAAAATGTCGCATGCCAAATCTAGTTGAGGTGGCTCAACATATAGCGCTTTTAAAAACGGAAACTGAAGTAACCAGAGAGCATCAGCTGCGGCAATCTCATACTATTAAGCTAGGCAGAAGTGAGGTTTACGTTGAGAAGTTAACGTTGAGGTTTTTGTTTCATAGTTCTATCAGAAAATAGTTCTGATCAAGTTTGTGAAAGAGAATGATAATGAATTAGATTCTGTTTACCACACTTGACGATGTTGCCAGCGTATCTCGCTTTCCTAATCCTGTAATCTATGCGATCATAAAGTTCCACAGGAATTTATTTTTGGTACATTTTGGCTGCAAACGCTGACTATGTCTGTTTGTCATAACTTTCTTGCACCTGTATGTCATCAATGCAAAGTGCGCAAAAAAAAAAGGATCTCTCTGAATAACTTTTGATCTAATGATCGGATCTCCACGTTCTAGGACTCAATATTAATGGCTTCAAATATGCTAATTAATAAAAGCAGACGATATTTTAAGTTACGAAATCAGATATGAAAACGTAATATCTCGGAATAAACATACATGATTTCTGACCCCCAAAATATCCCAATAGTTCGGTCAGGAGAGCGCTCCTAAGTTTGAACCATTTAATGTTAATTTTACTTTTTGCGTATTTCGTTCTATCTCGAGAGCTTTTGAAGCGAAATGAAAATTATTTGCACACAATTATAAGATTCGCTTATCTAAAAATAATTCCATGCAAAAAATAATTTTTAGTAAACATTTATTATTTTTTATTATTTTATTTAATTATGGTCGAAAAAATGTTGAATAGAAAGGTATACAAATTTTTGTTTCATTTTAAAAAATATAATTTTACATGGCCAAATACAAAGTTTAAGCATAATTGGTCGAGTAGTTCCGGAGAAATTGAATTTCACATATCTGTCTTTTTTTTTCAATTCAATTCACAGGAACTATTCAACCGATTTTGCTCAAGTTTTGTATTTTGTCTTTACATTCTTTAAAATAATGCAAAAAATTTTATACCTTACACTTCAACATTTTTTCGACTATAATTAAATTAAATAATAAAAAATAATAAATAATTACTAAAAACTATTATCTTTGGCTAAGCGAGTTTTATAATTGTGAGAAGAGTGAACCACACTTCTCACAAAACTATTGGAACCATATTTTCCGTATTGAGGCTACCCCATATTATTTCGGGGATCCGAAATCTGAACCGTAGAAAAAAGGTTTGTTTATTCAGAGAAAGTACGTTTTTTTTGTCTGAATTCGTAACCTAAAATATCGTCTGCATTTATCAATTAGTATTTTTGAGGTCACCCTCTCGAACCATTAAAAATGAGTTCTGGAACGTGAACATCCGATTATTAAATCAAAAGTTATAAAAGTTGTTTCGTTTTTTTGTTGTTTTTTTTGGTGTACTGTACTTTTGGTGTTATAACTTTATTAACTTTTATAACTTTATTATATCGTATATCTAGGATCGCTAACATCCTCGGCATGAATTTTTATTATTATTTTTCCAAATTATGTCATTAAAAATTAATGTCATAGATAAGGATTTATAAAAAACTGGAAGAATCTTCGAGGTCTGCTCATTGAACAGGCTTCTCCCGAACACATCCTGGACTGTTTGGGACTTTCCAGAGAGGGCATATACTCATCCCCCCCTTCCGGTCCCAGATTTTCTTAGGGTCAACGGCCTGATGGACCATGTCTGACTTTGTCAGGCGTTTGGAGGATAAGCCACAACAACAACAACAAAAAACTGGAAAATTAATCAAGTTTAACAAATCAATATCGATATGTCTATGACAATAGAGGTTGGAATTGAATCCATTAAAAATATGTTTTTTCCCCCTTATAATAAGCGTCAATATGATGGATACTTTAATAACTGTTTTTCTATTACTTTTGGCCAGCTTTCAGACCAGTAGTTTTTTTTAAAAAATAATGTAGAGAGGCATATTTCCTTTTTAATTGGAAACATCAAACTGTCTCAGCAATAGTTTTCAGCACTTATTTTTAAGTTGCAAAAAATTCGGAAATAAACAGAACAAGTGTACAGTAAAAAATCCCCTTTTTGCAGGTCTTATCTGTATATTTGACGCTTTAAAGCTGTTTTGTTGACAGAACGGTTTTCCTCAGTTTTTCCAAATCATAAACGGATTAAAACCGTCAAATCAAATTCTTGTTCATGCCATTCAGTTTTGTTTACCGTATGGTAACTCTTTTCTTTTTTTCAAATCATTTTACCATTATTTTCATTACTTACTGTTATTTTTCAGCAATTATTTTATGATTTTGAACATCGTATAAGTAAAATGATTTTATTGTCAAATCGATATTTAGCCAGATTGTTATATTTCTTAAGATATAATTTCTTAATAAGATAAGTTGTCAAAGACTTTTATACGGGTGGGTTACTATAGTTTTAAACGTTTTTACTCATGAATATTATTTCAATAAGTAAGACTTTTAAAATAAAAACAGTTTGAGATTTTTCTTTATACTAAGACACTAGAGATGCGGAGCTCAGGGTAAAGAGACCTCGCCTGCTATAGAGGCGAACCATGTTCGAATTCCAGAGCAGACAGGTCATATGAATGCTACTCTTGTCTAGCTCCTACAATGATTTTTATAGAGTTTTTAGTTAACACTATTTTTCGAAGCTTTATCGCCAAGGAAAATTTAAAAAAACATGGTTTAAGTGCTTAACACTTGAAGCAGTGTGATGATTTTAAACTATATATACAATCTTGCCGTGAATTATCTGGGCTTTAGAACAGACAAATAACTTAAATATTTTAAAAGTCATTAAACTTTATTAAAAATTGCCAAATTGGCGACATTTTTCAACCCAGATAAAAATTATCAAAATCGCTGACTTATTCTCAGTTTTTGCACTTTTTTATGAGATCGAGTAATGCAGCATTGGAGTAAGTTCTTAAATATTAAAACAGTTAGATCACAAATGCTTTTCATTTTCACAAAAGTATGTCTTTTCTCCATATTGATGTTTTGCGCCAGTTTCAAAATAAGCGTTAAAAAGCGTTTCAAAATAAACACAAAAAGCTTAAAAAAACAGGTGTCTGTTTTTAAATAACAGTATTTTTCTGTGAAATTAACGGTTTTATTACTGGTACACCAACTGACAGTTTATTTTCAATAAATTGAACAGATTTTTTTCACAGAATAAATGAAGGAAGATAAGGATGCAAGTTTTATGTATATAACTTTAGATCATTACAGTAAATGAAAAAAAGACGACATTACATATATTACTTTCGAAAATATGGTGTGTCAAATAAATTAATACTCACCAGTAGTAGTATAAACCTGAAAAAAACATATTCAGCCAATATTTTTATTTTTTATTTTCATTAATTTGAAGTCAAACTTTATTATAACATTAAAAAATACAGTGCACAATCGCACATAGATGCTAAAGCAATAAAATTCATTGTCCCTGAATTCAAAAATAAAAAAAAAGAATATAATTTTTTTAATAAAAAAAATAGTATTCATGTTATTTCACTTTCAACTCTTTACATTCTTTTGTTATTTGAAAAAATATTAAAGATTTTCTGTCAAATTTAAATATCTGTTAGCTTCTATTCTTTGAATTACGAAACGAATTATAGAGAAGTATTTCGCAAGTACAGTTTAGTTCAGACGGTTTAATCATCGCTTTAATGTGATACTTTATGTAAAATTTGACTATAAATTATCTTCTCCTTTTAATGAAATTTTTTGAAGCAGAAATATTTCATCATTGAAATGCAAATAATAGTTAAACCTGTTCGCAAAGAAATTGTAGAAATCAGGACAATTCCTTCGTTAAATACACAGAGAACGAAATTAAAAAGATACCAATCTAAATTAACTTTAGTTCTAATGATTAGATTTTCACAAATTAGGTGTTATTTACGATGGTTCAAAAGTACGACATGAAATATACTAATTAATTAATGCTAATTAACAAATAACTGAATCAGATACCAAAATTTATTTTCTATGAATAAATGAACCTTTTTTTTCATCGGATTAGATTCTTATGTAACACCCGGTGGCTGAGCAGTAGCGCTTTGCGCTGTCGTGCCACAGGTCCCTGGTTTGATCTTCGGGCGGGGCAAGGTTGACTCAGCCTTTCATCCCTTCAGTGGGTCGATAGATGAGTACCGAGCATGCTTGCGAACTAAACTCTGAGGGTTCCGCTTTCGGCTGACCACCTGACCGAAACATCTGCTTCTGCACCCCACAGCCCAAGGTCAAGAAAACTGAGATGGGCACAGTAGGCCTTGGCCCTCTATGGGCTGTCGCACCACTGAGTTTAGTTTAGTTTAGATTCTTATGTATCAAAATAGAGGGGGTAGTTTGAAATCTTAAAAATACTGCCTAGTTTAGTAAGATGAGCTTCTGAAAGTTTGGGCAAACTTCATGTTCATTTTGGTTTCGTCATTTCGATGATATTGACGGATTTGGATTTCTGATCCTCAAAATATAGGGGATTGCAGCAATCAGGAAAATATGATTCCAATAGTTTGATCAAAAGTTTGGACCATTTAATGTTACTTAAAATTTCTGCGTATTTCGTCTTATATCGAGAACTTTTGAAGCGAATTGAAATTTTTTTTGCACACAATTATTAAATTCGTTTATCATACGAAAATTCCAGGCAAAAAATAATTTTTAGTGATTATTTAGTATTTTTTCATTTAATTGCATCATTTCTTGTATCATTTTTTAAAGAAATGTAATTTTGCCTGGCAAAATACAAAATTTAATATAAACAGTTGAATATTTCATTGGAAATTAAATTTCAAAAAATACAGATATTTAAAATTCGATTTCTCCGAAACTATTTGACAAATTTTGCTAAATTTTTATATTTTGCCATGTAAAATTATATTCTTTAAAATGAAGCAACAATTTGTATACCTTACCATTCAACATTGTTTAGGCCATATTTAGATAAAATAATAAAAAATAATAAACATTTGTTAAAAATAATTTTTTGCATGGAATAATCCTTGGAACTTCGAAGAAAAAAAACGTTCTAAAAGTTTTTGCATTCTATTATGAAATAAAATTCGTTTATCTAAGATAAATAATTAAAAGAAAGTTAAATGTGCCTATCCAAAAAAAATATTTTATAATTAATTTTTATTTTTTTATTTTATAAGGATCAAGAAATTTAGAATTCTAAGGTATAAGGTACACAGATTTTAACACCATTTTGAAATTATACAATTCTGAATAACAAAATTTAAAATTTCAGTGAATTCGCTTGAATAGTTTACACAAAATTTCAGAAAAGTTGTATTTTTAAACCTTTATTTCTCGTGAATGTGTGTATAAATATATAT